AAAAATAAGAATACTTTTGTTCTTGAATATTGGAAAGCATTGGACTTCTGTATGATTTTTCTTCACTGTTTTATTGAACTCTGAATATTAGGGTTGGACGACAAACTGTTCGATTTTCTTCAATTTCTGTCGTATATCACTAGAGTTGTATTATAATAATAAATTATATATTTCATTATACAACACACACATACATAATTACTATAATTGTAATATATGCATGATATAATGTATTATTATAATTATTTTATTATTATTACTATCTTCTGAAACTTTTTATTTACATTTATAACTTATCTTTTAATCATTATCTTCTATTTTATTTATTGTTATTATCTTGAATTATTTTATTTTATTAAGTAATACTAGGGTTAACTGGATTATTAATTAAATAATTTAAGAGATTGGAATTAAGTAAAAGTATAAAGGACATGAACATTTATGTTCATACATATTTTACTATATGCAGGAAGAATTCTTCAACGTTCTTGACTGATCATTAGATTATAATTTGTCCAATTACAAACATCGTTTCTTGAATCCTTTGAAATAACGTTAATATTCATATATGTATTAATGTTATTCTTATAAAGAAACAAATGATATTCGTATACTGTGGTCAATAAATGTTTCAGAAACTTACGTATGCGCCAGGTTAAAGACGTACAATTCAACCGCTCACGCTTTAAAAATGAGACCAAATAAATTATTATACAACTTTTAATCACACGAAGTCGTTCGGAAAATATCCAGAATTTTTCGTCGTTTCTTGTTTTTTGCTCGTCACTGAATTATGAATTGCGGATTTTCGTCCAGATTTTGGAGAGTATAATAGAACCTCGACAGAAAATTATCCTGCGTACTAGATATTGGAAACACTATACTTCGAATACTTTGTATATTCTTCCATATCACACGCATACTCTGTACAATTTAAAAAGACGTGTTCTATGAAAAGAATTTCTAAAAGTGACTCATGATATTTTACAAATGCACGAAAATCCACAGTCTGTTGATTGTTCGAAGTCTCGGCAAGAATTTATTCCACGTACGTACAGATATTGAGAACACTATACTTCGAAATATTTTATTATATATTCATCCATATCGTACGCATGCTCTGTACCTAAAAATTCTCTATAAAATGTTTTCATGATTCACCTTCTACAAATTCTGCTGATTGTTAAAAGCAGCATTGCAGTATACATAAAGAGAACGCGATAAGATAAATTTCAAATTGTTTACTGATTATTGTATTATTACGTTGCCATCTACTTTAAAACAAAGCCCGAAAAACTTTCCTTCTCTTTGGGTGCTCTTTTTGCGCTTGAAATATTACAATCTCAATTAAAGTTATTGGTCAAAATTACTGCACGTCACCACGAATGCATGATGCGACAGCTCATTCAAAATATATTGTGGTGAAATGTTTTCTTTTTAATTTTTCTTAAATTATTTATTACGTTAATTAGTTAAATAATCTAAAAAAAAACTTTCTTTCTTTTTTCAATGTACGATAGAATTTCAGAAATTTCTGCTAATGTAACGAGTAAATTTAAATTTAAATAATTTCATAAATAATTTCGAAGCTTCAAGTCTTATGAAAAAATTCATTTAATCGTCGTTCACAGTTCGTTTCGATATGTACATTAATCTATCATCTTATGATAAAACAACTGACAAAATTCCAATCGATAAACTGACAAAATCCTAATCATAATTCTAATTCGATAAACATTTTTAGATTAATGTCTAATAAATATTACTTAACAGCATTTTCTACTAGAAATTAAATGCTTCATTTTCTAATGCCTGCTAGATATTTCTAACCAAAAGATTATGGTTTTTATTATTTTATTTTTTATTAATTTAATATCTTTCATTTATATTTTATTCATAATTCATTCATAACATAATGAAATAAATTTCTTTTTCCAACATTACAACAAATTATTCAGAATAATCTTACTAACTTAACATTTTAGTAATTTCCAAAGGGAAGTAAAATGAGACATTTCGTTATTTTATTGTCAATCTAGTTTATTGTGAATCTCGATAATTGATTTTCCCAAATGAAGTTTCTAGCGACATAGAGCTGCATAACTATGTACAGTTTCGTTTATCCTTTCGAAGTAATACAATCTTTACAGTAATGGAAACAATCAACTTTCAACTGTTGTAATTTTCAACACGAGTCCGTGTTTGGGTGCTAACTGGAACGTTCGTGGGTCATTTATGTATGGGATTTGCGTTTGATCGCAAACGTCAACCTTGTAAGTACGGAGGATCTTTATCAGTCCAATTTTGACTTGGAAGATTGCGAAACGCGCACCTGCGGAAGGAAAAGAAACGTTGATTTAATCACGAGCGAGAACACCTAGCTTGCCAAAAGTATGATTTGATTTTCTTTTGACACTGAAACTACGAAAATGGCCAAAACGACCAATTTGTAATTTTTGTTTGGGATCTTACAGATGCAAAACAGTGTATTCTTAGAGATTTAAATTTTAATTTTTCGCAAAATGTATGAAAGCTTCTTTCTTATATTGTTCTTCTTTTTCTTTCACTTTGATGTCTCTGATGGAAATGTTATGCTTTAATTTGGTTTTAATGTTAATTTCTGACTTTTTCTTCATCTATATTATATTCATTTTCTCACACGCCATATATTAAAATACTCTGGTCGCTAAACCGTGGGTTTTTATCTATTTAAAAGTGTAAAAATACATAAAATACTTTAAATACAATACTCCTTATAATATTTAATAAGTAAAGTAATTTTCTAGGTACCGTTTTCTGAATTATAAATTATAAAACCGCTGTCTACTAATCAAATTGATATTAGAAGTACTCTTGCTACATCTGCAAACTTGATTCGCATTTAGTATTTAGTATTAGTACAATTAGTTTAGTCATCCGCGTGCAATTTAGGTTGCTCATAACGCACGACTTTCTCACTGTTTCTGGCTTTTAAAGAAATCTGAAAGAATCCCGAGATATTTATTGAAACTTCTATTTAACGTACAATCCTTGAATCAAATGTATGAAGAAATAATGAACAAAAATAAAAACGAAAAAATTCATATTATTTCTCTACACGATAATTTCTGCGTATCTTTTGCCTGCAAATAACTAACATTCATTTTCTACGAAAAAATGTACCAGACTAAAGTATTAAAGTCCACTAAAACAGACTAGATGAGTCACTATCGATATTACTATTAAGCGTGTATTGATATCTAAAATATCTATATAAATCTTACACGTGTACTCAAACTTTTAGCCACCGTGTATGTTGCAATATGTTAAAATTGGATACTGCTCGACGACGTGTTTTTTTTTCTTTTTTTCTTTTTTTTTACATACCAATACAGTTCCTCGGACCATCGCCAAAGGGCAGATAATGCATCGGATGC